ATATATACTATATATATATATATATATATATATATATATATATATATATATATATATATATATATATATATATATATATATATATATATATAATAATAATAATATATATATATATATATATATATATATATATATATATATATATATATATATAATATGTAGATAGACATAGATATAGAAAAACATATATATATATATATATATATAACTAAGCCCAAGATCAGCCACGTGTTCAACAGCAGCTTACCTTTGATTGATCCCACACCATCTTCTCGGCAGTGGACTTGGCAAATCCGTACGCATCACCATTCTCTACGGTACTGGTGGTATTGTAGTCCTCCTCTGAGTATCAGGATATCATCCAGGATCAGAACGCAAGTTTGACTTTAGCGTGGAATTTATATTTGATATGATTATGGGATGGGTATATACTGATACAATCCACAAATGTTTATATTTATCACAAGTAGAGTGAGGGCCTATTCGCTCCAGTATCTGAGTGATCAGAACATATCCGTTACTAATCATACGTGCGTGAAGGAAGCGGAAGCCCGCAGCAGTCAAGCAAATGCATCACTGCGTATAACACCTAGCATACTGTGAACACATCTAGTATTGTACGGCAGGTACAGCGCAGGACAACTCGGGAAAACTCGCATTCAAGATCCGTTAAGCCAAAATAAGGATCAGTCACAACACTTACGCAGGCCTGCTAGACGATCGTTATATCTGTCCCAGTACTATATTCCGGTATATTGCCTATTCAGATGTGAATTATATATACATGTATATATGTATGTGTATATGTATATAAATACACACATGTCTATATATGTATGTTATATGTATATGTATGTTATATGTATATGTTTATGTATATGTATATGTATATGTATATGAAAATCTAAATGTATTTGTAAATGTATATTTATATGTACATGTATATGTATATCTATATCTATATGTATATGTATATATATATCCGTATATGTATAACATGTGTATATGTGTATACATGTAAAATGTATATACACACATATATACATTGTATATACATACACATACACCATATACATATACACATACACATACATATACACATACACATACACATATACTTATACATACACATGCAAGCAGCCTAACATGAACCAACGGACAAACTAGGCTGCCGATCTTATAAACTCCGCCTGGGCCTGCGAATCCCCGCTGTATCGAATATATATCTAGGAACATAGCAAGCTATCAACTGCACCGGTAGCATACAAACCATAACCACGTAGCATACATACCTTAACCACGACCCTCAAACAAAGACACCGTACAGTACTGCACCTACCCGTAAAAGTAGTGTTATCCTCCGCATTGAAGTCCATGATAGAAGCAATGCTACTGGTTACCACCAGGCGCTTGACGCTCTTAGCCCCGTCTTTGGTCAGACTGTTGAGAACGTTTTGCGTACCGACCACAGATGGTCGAACGACGGTTTTCTCTGGGTCTTTCTCTCCCGAAAGAGCCACCTTCGAGTAGAGTTACGTAATTGCGTTTGTAAAAACAAAAGTATGTTATATTCCGGTGTGTCATATGCGTGTGTTTGAGTATGATTACGATAAATCCATATATATATATAAAATTAAATGGAAGGCATAGATGTCAATATTCGCTCTCTCAAAACCCGAGACCTGAGAAACTCCGGGTAACTGGAAGCCGACAAATATTCCGATTTGCTATGTGACTTTAGGCATGTATACGTGCAACTTTCTCAGCTGGTGTTACGACAAATAGATAATTATATACATGCATTTATATATATATATATATATATATATA